AGCCGCTCAACGCGTCGGGCGCCCACCGCAGCGCCCTCGGGGAGTTGGGCGAGGCGCCCCGGTACCGGCAGTTCACCACCACCGTCCAGGTCGTCATCTTCATCGGCTCGCTGCTCGGTAAGACCACCCGCGGGGCGCCTCCCGGGCGGGGTCCCCGGAGCCCCGTGGGTTTCGGGGTGCTTGGCAAAGTGTAGACAGTTGAAGGAGGCTTAGGAATCCCGGGATGACAGCAGGGAAGTTAAGCAGGACGGTCGGCTCCAGCCCCCAAACTGGAAGCCCAAGAGTTCCAATAAGACTTCGCTAGGCTTGAAGGTGGGTGTCCCGAGCAGGCGGACAGCAGCCTCCCTAGGGACACCTTTCGGAACGCCCTGGGATGGGTGCAAGGTCTGCACATCATTCATTACATCCTGGGTGGCACGGTGGAGCACTGGCCGGAGCTCTTGTTGACAATGATCGAGGAACGAAGCTTCTGTGGGAATTTGTTGCTGGTGACTGGGCTGCATGCTACTCAATCTGTTAGGGTGGGTTTTGTGCCTCGAATCCCTACGTACAAAATGATTTTTGGGGGAAAAAATCCCATTTCATTTGTGTTTTATGGCTTGCTGCTTCGAAAACACCGACTTGCTGGTAAACAACCTTGTGAAGTTAAACACCAGATTGCCTTCAGATATTAAAAAAATCCCAACAGAAAGCAAAGCCTGTCCTACTTCTGCACTTTTTAAAAAAGTGTGTATACATACACACACGTAAAGAACAACGAACCAAAATGAGAGTGGTAAAAACGTTTATCTGCTAGTGTGAGAATTACGGGTACTCCTGGTAGCTACTCTGTAAATGCTGTAGTAGACCATCAGTATTCCTTCGTGTGGAGATTTGAACATGCATTATACTACTTGTGAATATGCGGCTTCCCTTTATTTATTTAAAAAAATTATTTTATTGAGGGCTCGTAAATTTCTCATCACATTCCATACATCCATCCATCAAGTCAAGCACCTATGCACACCTGTTGCCCTCATCAATCTCGAAACACCTCCCTCGATATCGTTTGCGTGGCTTCCCTTTAAATGTAAATTTTGTAGTGCAGCATTTATAAGGATGTAAACAAATTGAATAGGAGATTATATGTTATATAGGGAGCCTTAAAGTTTCAAAGTAGGAATGAATAACTTTTTGTAGACACTTGTGAATTTCCCAGGAAACCAAGGTTACTGGTCTTAAAAAGTCTATATTTGGAAGAATTGTAAGCATTTGGAATTTCCCTTCATTTTTCTCTATTGTATCATCCTACGTCTTTCGCAATTTTTGTTTTCCACTTTGTTTGAGAGGGCATGTTTAAAAATAGATATCAATGCAGTGATGTCTGAGGGTGTGTGGGTGTAAAAGTATGTTTTTAGGAGTGGCGTGTTACATACACAATAACAAAGTAAGAGTCCAAATACTTTGATTATTCAGTTAAACCTTGATTGAGCATCTCCTAGGTACTTTGTATAAGGTATTATAGATTATATAGTGGTAATTAAATTCCAGTAAGGTAGTCTTTGACTTATTTAGGACACTGCTGTGAGGTTACTTTTGATGTAATTCAGATATTTAATATATATATTTAGTTTTCATTATTATTGCCTTTTATTATCAGTATCTTTATAGCTCTCATCATTGTCTTTGGAGGCAGGAGAGTGATAACACCAGCAAATTATGGGCTGCAATGTTTATGTTACATATTATTAGCAATAAGGGTGGTCTTAAGGACCTTTATTGGTAAGTTGAAAAATCATACATCAGGGACTACCTGTATTGTCATGCGTGATATATAGGGGAAAATATTATAGCACATTTTGAACTAGAATAAATTGGGTCCTGCTATTTATGTGTATATTTTTAATGAATGTTTAAGAAGGTTATGCAACTATATTGAGCTGGCCACTTCTAGTCCTAAGTAAATAGAAGCATTTTCCCTGTCCCACCTAAATCTTGCACCAGGTGCTAAGATTAGCACTGAAATGAAATTTCGAAAGCTGGGTTGTAAGGACAAGACTCTCAGAGAATAGCTCATACAGGTTCCTGAGTCCCTAAGACAAAGACACCAAACCATAAGACAAGGCAATAATTGAGATTTCAGATACTAGAATAGGGACGAAGACCCTCAGTTATTTTGTATGGTTTAAGGCTTTTGTTTGGGAAAGATGTAGTCTGCCCAATATGATAACCCCTCACCCCTATTTAAAATAAAATTAATGAAAAAATTACTTTCTTTAGGTAGATGATGTACTTTTCAGGTGTTCATATTCATGAATACTTGACTGTTACATTGGACAGTGCGATATATTCATATAATTGGAAACAGTTCTAGGGCAGTGATTCTCAACCTGTGGGTCGCGACCCCTTTGGGGGTGGAATGACCCTTTCACAGGGGTCGCCTAGGACCTTCAGAAAACACATAGTTCCTATGGCCTTGGGAACCGAGATACCGCTCCTCTATCCATCACCAGGCGGTCCTCCCACATGCAGATATGCTGATCTGGTGAGAAAGAAGCTATCTCAACCTTTGCACTGACTTTGGCTTTTTACACATACTGTTGCGAAATGTAACAATGTAGTTTACTGTTGTTATAGTAAAACTGTTAC